AGAGAGAGAGAGAGAGAGAGAGAGAGAGAGAGAGAGAGAGAGAGAGAGAGAGAGAGAGAGAGAGAGATTTACCTGCATGCTGAGTTAAGTCAGAGCCACCGGTGACGATAACAACGATGAAGTTTGTGTTGATTTTAGGGACTCATTTGGACGTCGCATGTCCCACGTGAGTGCAGTATGATGTGGATCTCAACGAGTCGTGTCTGAGCGTGCCATGCATCATGGTGGGCTCATTGCATTGCAGAAAAATCGCGGCTAAATTAATGGAGTTTGTTTTAGACTGCTCATTGCTCAGCGATCTCGATCCTATCATGTGTTTGCTGAGATTTTTCAGCAATTCTCGTGTGCGACTTGGAACTTGGAACTTGTGGGACTTGGAAGGTGGAAATTTTTGACTTGGAACTTGTGGAACTTGTAAGTTTCTTGTGTGCGAATCCATTGCATGGACAAACTTGGAACTTGGGACTTGGGACTTGGAAATTTGAAGTTTCTCGTGTGTGAATCCTGGATGATTGCATGGATGGACTACCAACTTGGAACTTGAAATTTGGAACTTCGGACTTGGGACTTGTGGAACTTGGAATTTGGAACTTGGAACTTGGAACTTTGAAATTACTCGTGTGCAAATCCTGGACAATTGATGGATGAACTTGGAACTTGGAAGGGGATGACACAAAGAATGCCTACCGCAGCAAGTAAGGGTTTTATGTGTTGTTTTTTTTCAGGGGACGGCTTGATTTTGACGTATTGGGACTTGATTGATTGGAAGTAATGTTGGATACATTTGAACTTGGGAACTTGGACCCATTGATTGATTGGGACTTGGAACTTTGGTAATGTCAACTTTGGACCCAATGGCATTGATTGATGTGGTCCTGGACCCATTGATAGATTTGGATGTGAGCTTTGCTTGGAAAGCAGACAGTGGAATCTTAACACTGAGCAGACTAGGCAGAAGCAGTGTGATGCATACGCATCAGCTCTACTTTTTCTGGCAAATCAAACATGTGGTGATTATCGCTATGTCTAGACTGAAAGTTGACCTCGATACAGCTCTCTCTCTCTCTCTCTCTTTCTCTCTCTCTCTCTCTCTCTCTCTCTCTCTCTCTCTCTCTCTCTCTCTCTCTCTCTCTCTCT